CCGGGTGTCCCCGCCCCCGGTGGCTGAGGCGGTGCGGGCTCGGCGGCGGGGTGCAGGGCGTGGCCAGCGAGGTGAGGTGAGTGGCGGAGCCGCGCTCCCCGCAGCCATGGCCTGCTCCATCGTCCAGTTCTGCCACTTCCAGGACCTCCAGGCCGCCCGGGACTTCCTCTTCCCTCACCTGCGGGCGGACACCCCCGGCTGCGCCGTGCGGAGGGACCCCAGTAAGTGCCCCGGCGTCGCCGGTCCCCTCCCCGCTGTGCCCGGGGCCTCCGCTCGGCGGGTTGGGGCCTCCGAGCCGCCGCGCAGCCTCGGCCGGGGGGCTCCTGGTCCCCCGGCTCTTCCCCCTGCGGTCACCCCGGCCCGTTTCGTCCTGCAACCCCGGTCGCCCTGGAAGCGGCCGTGTCGCCTTCCCCTCGCCCCAGTTTTCTCCCAAACACTCGGACCTCCGGCCAAAACCGCGTCCCGGTTCCTCTCGCCTCTCCGCCCCGCTCCCCCGGGCCCCACTCCTGGCTTTCTCCCCGAGTGTCCTCTCGGTGTCCCCCTCCTTGCAGCCCGGCGTTGCCAGGTCCGCACGGCCCGCTCTCATCCGCCTGGGTTCCGGGCCAGCTGTCGCCGCTCCACCCTGGTATGACCGTGACCCCGCCCTCCTCCATCCCTGGGACCGTGGCCTCCAGCTGCCTCCCATTTCTTGTTTGTCGTCGCCCACACTCTCCCTTCTTCCACCTTATTTCCCCCTTTCAGGTTTAGAGAATAAATGGCTGGTTGACAAGTGAGTGTCTCCTAAGGTGGTGAGTAAGCGTCTCCTGAATAAGGGACATAACCTGTCATGAAGGGAGCGAGAATCAACATCAGGAACTAAAATTACGTGTAACGTGTAATTTACGTGTAAATTGCACGTTACGCTATTGACGTGTAATTTACACGTAAATTACAGCAACAGGGCCAGGAAAAGTTAATTTGCTTCATCGAGATGAGACGCCTTCCACCTGTTGTCATCAAAGAGCATCAAGCCTTTGCCCGCGTGGTATAAAATCCTGCGTCTGGTTTGTTAGATACTGCATCCTCAGAATTTCCTACATTTCTCCTATTGAAAGGGTGTGTGTTTTGTGTTTGTTTTCGTCATATTTCCAGTCTGAAGTACATTTGGCTTTGCAGTGCAGTGCTGTCACTTTGGGCTATGCTGGAATGATGATAAAAAGCCCACTCAATATGCTCCTCCCCATTTTAAAAAAATTTAGAAGTCATCAAATCAAAACTACCTATGAATAGCTACTCTAGGGCTACACATCAAATAAGGTTGGTGGTCTCCACCCTCGAGGAGTTTATAATTTACTGAGACATAAATTAGCAGCTACCGTACAGTGTGATTGACATATGTACATAAGTAAATATATACCTACAGCTCTAAGGCGCTAGGGGACACTTCCTTGAAGTGGTAATACTTAAGCCTGCCTTTGAAGAAATAGATGAATAAGGGAGAGGTAATGACGTGTGCAGAGGAAGGGAGACCTGAAATGGCATGGTATCCGGAGCACTAAGGAAAGCCGAATGACCAAAGAGGCGAATGTGAAGGTTGGAAGGAGCTGGGTCATGGGAAGCCTTGTGGAAGGAGTGGGGAGCCTCCGAAAGACTGAGCAGAGAAAGGACGTGGTCACATTCGAACTTAATGTAGTCAGGAAAGTTTCTGAATGGCTACCATGTGCTTTGGAGAGATAGGAAGTAGAGAAATCGCTTAGGAAACTATTCCGATAATTCACGCGAGAAGTGATGTGAGCTTGAACTAAAATAGCTTCACAGAATTTAAGAAGAAGGGCTAGATTAGAGAGCTGGTAAGGGGGTGGAATCTGCAGGACCTAGTGGAGAGCTAGTGAGGGTTAAAGCTGATGAGTGACAGGGACTTAGGGACACCTTCTGGGTTTTGACTTGAGCAAGTGCCTATAACGAGACAAGGAAGGAGACAGGTTTTAGACCTATTGCATTTTAAATGTTTGTGGTTTCTCCCAGTGAGAGGGTCCAGTTGAACACTAGACACAGAGGTCTAAAATTTAGGATTCCTGGGCCAAAGATGTTAATTTGGGAGTTATCAGCAAAAAGCGTCAGGTCGGTTTCAAGGATTACGTAGTCATGTGCTGCTTAGCACCTGAGAAGTGAGTGGTTAGGTGATTGCATCGCCATGTGGACACCGTAGAGTGTTACGTACACACACCTGTGTGGTGCAGCCTGCCACTGTAACTGTATGTGCCGTACTTGTATACGACTGGCCACACCGTAGGTTTGTTTACACCAGCATCAACACAGACACATTACGACGGTAACGAGGCAAAAGGAATTTTTCCGCTCCGTTGTGATCTTATAGGACCTGATATCCCCGTATGTGCCGTCCATCGTGTAGTGAAATGAACTGAGCATTCAAGTGTAAGAGTTGAGTAGAGATTCATGGGAAGAAGGCTGAGAAAGAGGAACAGATGGAGAGGAAAGCCACATGAGAGTCACGTCCCAGGAGCTGAGGGAGGAGAGAATTTGACAGGAAAGAAGTGGCCAGCGGTCACCCATGCAGCAGCGTTCAGCTAACAGGATAGAAACGAGCTCGTCGGTTTCCAGAAGGCAGAGGTGACTGGGACCTGAGGACAGCTTCAGTGGAATGGCAGGGGCAGAAAGCACATTGACAGGATATTGAGAGGTTAAAAATGAAGTTGAGTATTCCAAGGAGCTGGGTCCTGAAGGACGGTAGATAGACGGTAGATAGACTGTGGACGAAGTGTGGAGAAACACTTTCCTCTTTCCCACTGCCACCTCCTGGTCTGGGTACCACCTTCTCTCCCGGGCAGGGGCACCAGGCTTCTAACAGTTGTAGCAGACCCTCTTGCTTGCACCCTTGGTTTCTCGTAACTAGTTCCCCAGAGCAGGCAGAGCGAACTTTTAAAGACATACTTTAGACGGTAACGTTCCTGTTTATAACCCTCTATGTCTTTCACATACATTTAATGGTTCTTACGTGGCTTACAAGACCCTTGAGGCCCTGCCTCCTGCCACTTCTTGGCCCTCATACTCCTCTCCTTATTTCTTATATTACACACTTTTGTTGTTAAACCAGCTGAGCTCAGTTGTGCCTGAGGCCTTTGCCCTTCCTTGTCTCTGCCGGGGATGCTCTGCAGACCTTTGTATGCCAGCTGCATCTTGTCAATCAAGTCTCAGCTCAGATGTCAACATCTCAGGGAGGCCTTCTCTGACCATCTGATCTAAAGTAGTCACTCCTACCCCTTGATCTCACGTGCCACTGTTAGCGGTATCATCTTGTCTGTTTTCATCGCTATGTCTGTCTGTCCAGTATGTCAGTCTCGAGCTACATCTGGCTTTTGAGCCCTTGAAATGTCACAAGTGGTACCGAGGAACTAAAATTTAAATTTTACTTTAAATTTAAATACCAAATGTGACTCGTGGCTACCACATTGTATGGTTTAAGAATTCTTTCATTTTAATGTGGGCAGCTGCCAAAACATAGTAGTAATAATACCTGGTACCTGGGCACCCAGAATGCAATACTACTCTCTTCTAGATTTGAATTTTCAGAGACTATAACACTATGACTTTATGTTAGTTTTTATTTTCAATTATAAAATAAGACTGTCTTCTGTTAAGAGAGATCTTGAACCTTAGTTTCCCAGTTGAGTGATAACTAATCATAATTGTTTCTACTCAGTCAGATGCTGCCTATTTCAGATATAAAATATTGTCTCGTGCTTTGAAATTTCAGAGAATGGGTAGTTGTATGAGTCCCCATTTAAGCTACAGTGACATAATTTCCAGTGAGACTGGATTTCTAAACCAGAGCTTCTCAATATTTATAATTCAGGAGGAGGAAAGACCTATACAGAGAGGGAGAATCAGAATATTTGGGGGTAATTGGAGTGTTATAATATTTTGGATCTCTTAATTACCTAATAGTAAAATAATTTTTTGTCGACCTGCTGAAAAGGTAGAGCGACTCTCCTTTTTGCCTCTTTTACCAAAAGATAGAAGATAAAGCATACATGGAATTCCTTTGGAGTCGTCAATGAAAGTCATGTTTTTATACAATAACTGAGAAAAGTGTGCTTTTAAGATAACCTGAAATCGTAAGGTCACTTTGCATTATGGTACATTTCAAAAGGTATAAAATACCTTTTTTTTATACTTAGTGAAAATGATTTCTCTTGTTCGAGATCATACGGGGGAGAGAAAAGTAATCTGAAAGTAGAACATTTACAGGAACTTCAGAAAATTGGTGGAGTTACTGGATTTTGTTAGCTGTTTAAAATTGGAAGAGGATCTTACAGAATTTTATCAGTGAGGAAACTGAGACGGGGCAGTCTTTAATTTCCTTCTTTCAGCTCCTGTTTCTTGAGCACCTACTGCATACTGAGCACAGAGTAGTCATACAGGTACATAAAATAGGTCCCTACCTTCAAGGAGCTTTGAGCCAGTAAAGGAGCTATGTAAAAGGAGTGATAAAAGGCGTTACACTATCATCTGGCACACGCTAGTTGGGGAACGAAGGAGTGTTGGTTCATTCTATGTAGGGGGCTCAGGAAAGTCTGTCACAGAAGGACTGTCATTTTTACCAAGTCCTAGCGGTTTAGTAGATGTCCACCAGGTGGAGAGAAAGTGGTCAGGCAAGGGATGTGAAACAGCATGGGCTTCAGACAGCTGCCGACAGTGGTTTGTGGTAGGAGAGGGGTGTGGTAAGGGATGAAGCTGGAGAGATCGGTGGAGGAGTTGAGAGTTTACGCAGTAGCAGGATCTTCAGATGGAGGGATGAGTACCTTAGGGTTACTTGGACATGTAACTTGGAAACAGATGGTTGTAAGTAAGTTTTAGATATGACTATGAATGCGCCTACTTTCTCCTCCTTCCCCCGCTTTACTAAGTAAAGGCTGACCCTGCTCACATCTCAATATTATAGTAAATTCCTCCAAGGTGTTAAAAAAAACCTTCCCTTTAACTAAGGAGCCATAAATGCCCCCATCCATCTAATCAAGAGATTTCCAAATAATTCCTCCAAGGTGTTAAAAAAAACCTTCCCTTTAACTAAGGAGCCATAAATGCCCCCATCCATCTAATCAAGAGATTTCCAAATAATTTTTTATGTTTAATAATTACTTATCAAAATTTGTGATATGTATGTTGTTTTTCTCAGTTATCTGCTAACAGTAATTACAATAAGTCAAATAAAAAGACAGAT